CGCCATTTCCTAGGGAGCCAAGCTGACACTGGAGCAGTCATGCACGCAGCTTCAGTCTCCCAGGACAGGAGCAGTGGTAATGGAAAACAAAATAAAGAACACGCATTGCTTACACTAGGCAGAAGAAACGAAGTCTTATTGTTATCATGGCTGTATTCATCAAGTAATTGTCACAAAAGCCACAAAGATGTTCAAGTCAAACATGAAGAATGCTGTGCCCCTGTATGCAGAAAACTTCCAATGTGACAGGGATAGAAGAGGCTTCAGAAGAAAGAATGAATGTTCTTGTGGATGAAGCATCAGACCTTGCAGATGCCAGATTCCCCAACACATGCAAGGGAAGAGGCCTGTTCCCCGCCCATGCCCGAAGCTTCCGTATGTGGGCAGCAACCTCCCAGCCCCGAAGAAAACTGCGTGTCCCAGCCCTGAAGGCCGAGGCTAAGACACCCAGTGCTTGCCTTAGAGCAGTGAGTTGGCTCTGAGGACTCCTGGAGCCTGATGGGCCACGATTGCTTCCACCACCCACATTTACAGTTACTGTGTCTCAGGGGTGAATCTGTGGACAGCTGAGGTCCAAATCTATTTCTTTCTCCTGGAGAAGGAGGAGCAAACAGAGGAGCAAAGCCTCTGTTAAGGGTTTGCAGGAGCTGCAAGGAGAGAGAAGGATGAGGTTTGTGAGCAAGAAGGAAGTGACTCTGCCATGCTATGGCTGAGCTGCTGGCACAGAGATACATGGCCGAGTCCCCCTGCTGTGTGCGCTTGATCTTCAGAATGCAGACAGATCCCTCGGGCCTCTCTGCAGAGAACCAATCACGGGGAAGCCCCAGTTTGTCTGCTGCATCCTTGTCTTGGAAGTAAATTGGAAACTCCAGGCCCTGCCCCAGGCTCTGTCGTTATCAATAAAGGACATTATGACGTGAAATTGGATCATATCTGAGAGCTACATCCTTTCTCTTCTTTGCTACCTTGTGTCTCAGGGACTGGGAGACTCCAGCACCTGTGTGATCTGTGGAGACAGAAATTGGGAACTGAATAAGAAAAACAACTATAGTCATCTCTCTCTCACCCATCTCACACATACACACACACGCACGCGTGCGCGCACACACACACACACACACACAATGAGACTGCTTGGCGTCTGAGGAATCACCTGCCCCCAGGAGACACAGGCTGCCCAGCAGAGGAGCCTGGTGCCCATGGCAGAGTCAGGGCAGGGTGGGAGCTTTGCAAGATCAGAGTCACCATAAGCAGGAGCAGAGAAAGAGGGACATTCCTGTGCTTACACGGAAGTACCCACCGTGACATCACTTCCTCTCTCAATCCACGCAATGATAGGAACAAAGGATTTACATTAGAACACACTTAAATGACTTCTTTAAATATTTGTGAGTTCCTTGCTTTTTGCTTGTTTGTTTTTTGAGACAGAGCCTTGCTCTGTTGCCCAGAATGGAGTGCAGTAGTGTGATCTCCGCTAACTGCAAATTCTGCCTCCTGGGTTCAAGTGATTCTCCTGCTTCAGCCTCCTGAGTAGCTGGTATTACAGACTCGCACCACCATACCAGGCTAATTTTTGTATTTTTAGTAGAGACGGGGTTTCACCATATTGCTCAGGCTGTTCTCAAACTCCTGACCTCAAGTGATCCACCCACCTTGGTCTCCCAAAGTACTGGGATTACAGGTGTGAGCCACCACGCCCAGCCTATAAATTCCTTTCTAGGCCGGGTGTGGTGGCTCATGCCTTTAAGCCCAACACTTTGGGAGGCCGAGATGGGTGGATCATGAGATCAGGAGATGGAGACCATCCTAGCTAACATGGTGAAACCCCGTCTCTTCTAAAAATACAAAAAAATTAGCCGGGCGTTGTGGCGGGCGCCTCTAGTCTCAGCTACTGGGGAGGCTGAGGCAGGAGAACGGCTGGAACCTGGGAGGCGGAGCTTGCAGTGAGCTGACATTGTGCCACTGCACTCCAGCCTCAGCAACAGAGCGAGACTCTGTCTCAAAAAAAAAAAAAAAAATTCCTTTTTAACAACATCAATGCATGTATCATCGCTTTGGGATCCCATGCTGTCTGGACCCGGAGGCCTCACGCTGCATCTCTGAGTTCACCTCCTCATCCCACAGCCACTACTCTGTCTGCTGGGCATGTTCTCTAGGATGTGTCAACAGCTCCACCAACACAAGGCACCAAACGGTGAGCTCATTGTCTTTCCTGCAAGTCAGGGTCCCCTGTACCATCCCCATTCATGCGCCAGCCTCCTCCATCCCCCAGTCACACGTGCCCAACGGGACTGTCCCATCACATGGGTTCCCTCATGAGAGGCACCTCATCCCTCTCTTCTGGGACTACCTCCCATCTTTGTTAACTATAATTCAGAAAGGATACCTTGGTGACAAACTCAGTGTTTTTTCTTTCTCTACCTATAAATATATTTACTTCAATCTCAGTATTTAATGAATGAGAATTATAATTCTGACTTGATACTTATTTTTAATCTCCTTTCTTGACTTTCACTGTGCCTTTCAGTCTGGGAGATAGCTATCTTTTGGGCTACTTTTAAAATCTTCTCTTTGTCATTTGTGTTCCACAATTTCACTATAACATATGTATTCATCTACTACATATTCATTTAACTTGTTGAAACAGAGGATTTAGGTCCTGAAACACATCTTGAAAATTCTCAGTTAATGTCTCATAATTATCACCTATCATTCTCTCTACTTTCTCTTTGTGACACTTCAATGATGTGTAAGAAAAATGGGAAGTTCCAACAAAATATTATATATATCCTAATATACTAGAACCCACAAGATTTTTATTCCTTATCCCTTACCTTTTCTTGTTTCCTATTTAATTTTCTGTGCTGCATTCTAGGTAACTTCTTCAGATCTGTCTTTGACCTCAGTAACAATCTCTTTTGAAGCATGTCGTCTTTTCTTCATTTCCACTTTGTTTTCAATGATAATCTTAATCATTACTGTATTCTCTTTGATTATTTTTAATGTTTCCTTGATGATTTGTGACAGTCTCCTTTTTCTTGTTCACATATCAATTTGCTCCTGTATTCCTTTAAATATGGCTCTTTAACTTTTATAACTTTTAATGGCAAAATTCTTTGTCTTCATACATTTCAACTGCTTATTGTTTCTACTCATTTTTCTTCATTGGTTCTGGTTTTGTCTTAATAGTGGGAGTATATTTACCTGACATTAATCTGTGGGATTTCAGAGAGGCCTGCATTGAGAGTGCAGAACGTCCAGTCCGTAGCTTTTCCAGCTGTCTCCAGTCTCATCCCAAATACAGGGGGCCAAGAATTGTCTGCTGCACTCTGAGTTGCCAAATACTCTCCTGGCTTTGGTTCCTGGGGTCAGAACGTACTCTCAGGACAGCCACAATGTTCCCTCCAGAACACAGTTCTTATATTTGTTATTTTTCATGATACCGTCTCCATAAATTAGCACTTAGAAGGCTGTGTAGTCATGACTTCCCCTACCTGTTCTTCCAAGAAAAAATTATATAAATACATTTTCAATAAAAAAATACTAAGTCTAAAGATATTCCCTCTTCTTTCCTTTTTGGTTCTTAACCCAAAACTTAAAAAGAAACTTAGATATTAGAATTATATAATGTAGACTTTACCCTCATTGAGTTTGAAGAGCATGTGATATTTTAAATTGGAAATTCCTAGACGAACTGACAAACTGGCTTACACAATGAATGGTCCAATGCTTGTTCAACAAGCAAGTGCCCTTTGATAAGCTCATAGCAGAGCATCTCAGGCACAGTTAACTCTAGATCTCTGCCAGGGTACAGCGGACCTGGAGTGGTCCTGTTATTGGTTCATCCACCTGCTCGTCACTCAATCAGCCTGTCATTCATTAACTCATCCATTATCTGTGAAATAGGTCTCCCTTCATGCCAGGAACAGCTGTTGGTAAATGTAACAAGCACAGCCTTCGCCTTTATGGAGTTTAAAATCGAGTTGAGCAGAAAAATATCCAGACAAGTAACTGGAAAACTCCAACTACTCTATTGACTAACGAGCACATCAGCGCTCATTACCATCAGCGCTTATAACAGAAAAATTGATCTCAGCTGGGAGGCAAGGGAGTGCTTCCCACAGGAGGGCTGATCATGCTGTGGTCTGAAGCACAGGTAGGAGCTGGCCACTGCAGAAACGAAGTCTCTAGCCCAGGGCAGAGAAAATGGCCTTTGAAGTCTCTGCGATGGGAATGAAGGAGGCACAGAAGAGGGACTCCCCTCACGGCTGCAGTAGAGAGAGGCGGGGAGGTGAGGGGAGGAGAGACACAGCAAGGCCTTGGAAGGTCACTGCCCAGATGGGAAAGGTGGGCTACAGAAGAGACCACATGAGAGTGTAGGCTGGGGGAAACCCTAGAGAGAGGAAGCAACACGGTCCCCAGGGAGAGACAAGAGTCTAGATGGATCTGAAATACAAATCCTGTTTCATCCTGGGGGCCTCAGACCCATGATGATGGAGTTTCAAGGTCCCTGGTGCAGAGAACTCTGCTCAGGGCATCACTGAGTTTGGGGTGAGAGAGGAGGGCAGAGCCTCCCTGCCTTTATGTACAGAGAGGAGACGGCCGTGCAGCACTGTGGCTTCACTGCTGGCACAGAAGTACACAGATGTCTGGGAGGGAGCAGCCGACTCCAGCTTGAGCAGGAACTCCTTTTTGTTTAATCTGGAGACACTGTAGCCGTCGGGGACTTCTCCTGGGTCAGTGGTATCCTCAGTAGCTGAGTAATGAATCAGCCTCAGCCCCATGCCTGGGTCTTGTTGATACCAGTACATGGAGTTATGGTTCATATCCTGGGCACACTGCAGTGTCATGCTCTGTCCTGTCTTCAGGATCTGGAATTTTGGGCTCTGAGTGACATCAGCATTTGCAGGACCTGCAGAGAAGGACAAAGCTGATGCTGCAGCCCCAAAGGGAAGGCGCTGGGCCTTGAATTCCAGACAGGGGCCCTGCCTAGGACCCACCTGCCCACAGGAGAGAAAAGGCCGCACAGCACAGGAGGCCGATGCTCATGGCAGGTGCTGCAGGACAGAGGGATCTTCTGGGTCTGTGCATTGATGAAAGGGGAACAGGACTGTCAAGGGAGTCATTCTGAGATGTCACTCTCCCTCCCTGGGCCCCGGAGCCTTCCTGTCAGGAGAGGCCACACCTCTTCCCTAGATGGTCAAATTCACAATAAATGCACCAGTGAACAGTTTGGATGGGAAGAATGCCTTTGTCTGAATTGACACAACCTTGCAAGCTTTTCTTAGCCTTTTTGTAAGCAGTTTGTAACTCAATGTAAATTTTATCCCTGTGATGATATAATTCCTCATTCATACACTGGTGTTAGTTACCTAAATATTTCTCTAATTTAGACACTTACGGACACTCCTCATGTCTTCCTGGTGCTTTTGACTCCTGTGTCCCAAATACTCCTTCAAGTATCCTATTCTAATTTGCTTAGCTGACCTTAATCCTGTTTACAATCTTTTGTCTATATTGGTTTTCTCTGTTACCAAGTTTCCAAATCCCAGGGGCAGGCTCATCAACTTTGGAGGAGTCGTTTTTGTTCTGTTTCTTGTCAATTCACTGACAGATGGGACTCCTGACAAGCCGAGCTGAGCAGCCTCAGCTCCTCCCAGGGCTGTTGTTTTCTGTGCCTGGGGTG